ATGAAATCAAATGAAATTACTTTTAGGAGAAAGGAATTGAAGTGTGGGTTAAACCGGTCACACCAATCATTAATACCGTCCATACCTATGCTATTGTTTATTTAAATCGCAATGATTTGGGAACACCTCATATTGTAAGTTTGAAACTTTCTTATATTCATTTAAGATATGGGATGACTTTTCATTTTTATTTTACTGATCGTTACTTTCAATTTTATATTACTGTATAATATATAGTGTACTGTATATCATATTATATAATAAGCTCTAATATTTCTAATAATAATACGATTTAAAATATTTATTAAAGGCAATATAAAAATAGTGAATAAATTCATTTAATAAATTATATTTATGTGGGGTACAGGTATAATCAATTTTTCTTACAATACGGTAGTTTCTGTGAAGTAAAATTAAATAGTTCAATTTGCACTGTCAAGATTCGTCTATTTTTTCATTTATGATACGATATCACTTATATCATATAAGTATATATTCATTAACTTTTTCCAAATATGTCATACAATAAGATTTGTAATTTAATTCTATTCATCATAAATATTAATTAAATATTGTCAAAAACATACTGTAAATGTACAGTACTCTTAACGTTAAGTACCGGTATATTCTTGAATATACAGTAATTCAAATGAATAATTACAATTAATTTTATAGGTATCGTTGAAACTGTCATCACTGATACCAAACCTATCACCGGATCCACTGTATTATGTGACCGATTTGTACGATAATTCAAAACTGATCGCCAAATTGTCTAATAATGACAACTTGACTCTCAAAGTCAATACTTCCGGAAGTGTACGAATGATTAAATTGAGTCCAGTCTTCAACTCAACACTTGATAATCAAAACATTGTTTAAATCTTTTCAAAATTCAAATTAATTGTATAACCTAAATATGATAATGTGAAATTTAAACATATTTTTACTATTATACAAATATAATTCTATAATTAAAATGTGTTATGTAATTGCCTTTATATTGTAATTGAGTACTAAGAAATCACAATTTACAAATTTACCGTATAAAATATATATTAAAGATTGTACTGCAAATAAGTATTATGTGAATTAATAAATAATCTATAATTAAGATATCAATTGTGAGTTGGCAAATTTTGAATTTTGAATTTGAAACCAAATAGTTATATATTATATAAACTTATAATTTGTGCCATTACTCGGTTGTAAGAATTTAGTTCTTATGAATACATTTTAAAATATTTTGCTTTGTTATGTTCGTTGTATAAGTTGCATAATATTTGTGGTGACACTATGTTTAAAAGACAAATAAAGCAAATCTATTAAAAAATAAATAGAAAAACGTATAAAAAGAGTTATATATACAGTACAAGAGTTGGAGAATACAGTTGTGTTGAATGAAGTGAGCATAGGATGAGTGGACGTGTGGTTTGAAAGTGGCGCTCAACGGGAGTCACCCTTTGATTGTGTGTTTCCATGAATTCATGTTTGAGTCAACACTGACTGAAGCATTCATTCATTGATTGAGACTTCAGACAAGAAATTGTAATAAAAGTGGTTTTGCTCTCAATTTAACGATTCAAGTGTTTGTCACTAATAATTGTCATCTCATATCATATAAACATTTCAAATCTGTTTCGCTAACCGTTGTCTTACGACGAGTTTTAACACTTTTTATAATCAATTTTATTAGTAATCTATTTGTCTCTCATTTACACATCATTTTCATTTGAAAAGCAAACCAAATGTGAGTACAATACGAATGTAATCACTATTAGAGCCTATTGTACGCTATATTACTATTATTAGACTAATTGTATTGAATTCATTGAACACTATATATGGTATGATATTGTCTTTGAATGGTCTCATGGTGTGAATGGAGACCATGAGTTGGCAATGATGTGACAGTATGTCTGAGCAGTGAATGAGCAGATCCTGGCAATTGTCTCGTATATACCGGTCTTTCTTATGATATGATGTTCAATATGAAGACAATACTAGCAATCGGTTGCCAATTGTGCACCATTGAATGAGCAATGGATGCAATGGTGTGGCACTCATTGGCATCTCTTCCTGAACACCCCATCCCTGAGTATAATTAATGCATGAATTAAAGGCAAAACCCGTTCCGACGCCTACCCCTCATAGGCTGTGCTCTTATCAGTCAATTGTTTAATCAATTCGTTAAGACTGAAGAAAATGAGTGCAAATGTAATGAACACCTTATGAACACATATGATCTCTGTTGAACCCATACTTAGCGTACATTCATTGACACAACCATTAAATTGAATGTCATAATTGTCACCACCGTATAGATAGCGATGTCTGAAGGACTGGTGTCTAGCCATCAGGCCTACCAATGCGTCAATGTTTACGCCACTTCTGCCACATCTGAGAACCTGAGTCGACATGAAATGTTGAATTGGGTTAACGATTGCCTCGAATCCAGTTATAAGAAGATCGAAGAGCTTTCTTCCGGTCAGTTGTCATCTCTTTGTACCATTGGTTTCATGTCTTGTATATTGATATGATATATGAGTGACTAAACTGTGGGTTGAGTCAACTTTTTATGATGTATTTGATTATATCATAAATAGTGAGTGAACTCAGATTCAACACAACTATCACTCATATAAGCATTGAAAAGATAAATACAAAATACGTTATACAGTACTACCGGTAATAAAAGATGATATTTATAAGCTAACTGTCCATTGATTAGGTGCCGCTTATTGCAATTTTATGGATATGTTATTTCCCGGATCTATAATCTTAAAGAAAGTGAAGTTCAGAACCAATTTAGAGCACGAATACATCCAAAACTTCAAACTACTTCAGGCGGCCTTCAAGAAAGTCGGGTGCGATAAGGTATGCCTATTACTCGCCTCCACTCCACTCTGCGGTACAGTAGCTAACTGTGTGTCCAACTGATAGGAAGTGGCGATCAACCGTCTGGTGAAGGCTCGCTTTCAGGACAACTTCGAGTTCCTTCAGTGGTTCAAAAAGTTCTTTGACTCCAATTATGACGGCAGAGAATACAACGCAATGGAGGCCAGGGGTGCCGTCACTATTGGCGTGGGTGCCGGTGGACCCATTGGCACTGGTTCTGGAAGTACACTCAACTCACGAATGCCGGCCCAGAGGAATGTGGCGCCAACTACCAGACCTGTTGGCAGAGCCGCCCCCACTAATAGAGTGGCGCCCCTGAAGGCCGGCGCCGCCAATCGGCGCATCCAATCAAACAATTCTCACGGCGTAGACCATACGGACAACTCAATGGATTTGCAAAAGTTAGAGGAATTGGACTCAAGAGTAAGTAATGGATGAGTGGATGCCATGGATTGTCATTGACTTATGTATTGTTTGTATGCCTTATAGATGAGTGAAATGAAGCTCACAATCGACAGCTTAGAGCGCGAGAGAGACTTCTATTACGGAAAGTTACGCGAAATCGAAGTCTTGTGTCAGAACAACGACCCCAACGATGACAAGAATCTCGTCACTGATAAGATTCTGGAGATTCTGTACGCCACTGAAGAGGGGTTCGCCGTTCCGGACGAGAGTCCAGACGAGAACCAAATACTTAACGACACGACGAATGAAGAATATTAGACTCACTTGTCGTCCGCTCTATAAATAATTTCTTTCTATTTTATTAATCCGTAAACTCATAAACGGTTCGGTCTTTTAGGTTTTGATCAGTTTATTAATAATAGCTTTTAATCTTTTCTTTTTTATCACAATTTATAAAATGAGTTATAAAAACAATTCGCAATCAATCGTTGCTTTCTATCATTAAAACACTTGAGATATATAAATATCTTATAAAAACAAAAACACAAATTAATTGTTAATTATTTATAATAATGTTTAATCCGATAACAAAGTGCAGAAAACATGGATTTGACGGTTTGCTCGCAAAACTCAATCCGAATAATAAACGGATGGAGTGTTCGTCGGATCAGTTGAATGGCTTCTGGCTGCCGGTGCTGTTGGCACAGACTGTAGGCCATGAATACACCGCATTTGGCTACTATGTTGGGGTCACCGGTAATACTGGCCAACAGTAGCTGTGATTTGGATATCTGTCCCGCTTTTATAGCCTTTATTACCAATATTTATGTAACAAATTATTTAATTGAATAAAACATATTTCAAACATTCAATGATTAATACTAACGAAAGTGATGTCATATTCTCCGAGCGAAGAGTAGGCGCCCCCCAGAGTGGACAGCCATGAGAAGCTCTCCTCCACTCGAAAGCGAATCGTAACCAACTCCTGAAGACAGCGGTTCCTAAACAGACAGCCATTCACTTATTACTCACTCATTAATCATTATGATTGATATGATTGAAAACAAACCAAATCTTATCGATAACTAAGTAGTGATCCATTGATTGCAACTCAACTGATAGACTAATCAAATGTGGCATTTGGTGGTCGTCTGACTCGACAGTATTGGCCGAAGAGTGGTCCCTATGAGTGGTATCACATGTTTGACACTTTGTGTTCAATCGTTGCTTAAGATTAGTGAAGACTTTTCGCCGGTAATCGATACAAGACATGAGTTTTCTGTCAAAATAAATGGTTTGAACCAATTGTGATGACACAGTGATTGCCATTTGATGAGCACTTGTGGATACCGTATCATCTGACAGTGAAATGAATGCATTTGCGCCAAACAATTGTCTTCTGATTGTCATGTGTTTGAAGACAACTATTAATTCAATGACTTCTGGCATTCAATTGAATAATCAGTGAATGAATGCAATCAACAAAAGTAGACATGAATTGGCGTTTCATTGAAAACAGTATTTATTGTATTTCATGATTCATGACACATAAACAGCTGTCTGTCAGTGAAGCACGTGTTCACATACTTCACACAAACACTTCACTGACCACTACTTACCACACGGTTTGCCACCAATTGATCCAATCATACATAGTATCCTAAGATCATAGACTTGTTATTCGTATAATTATCTTCGCAAATATTGTCATTTGATTACTTTTGACAGTTAGTGGTGCCAGGTAATTGATATATATGATATATTGCTAGAAATTTAATTTGCGCTAAAATATTGACTCCTCTTTGAAATGCAAATGAAAATCACTTGAGATTCAAAACATTACAATGAAATTCAATTTGCAGTCAATTTATTAAACACTTCATACATAGAGAGATCACTTTTACAGTTAATACAAATAGTTATCTTATTTTTGTATTAGTTTTGAATAGATCATCAAAAGTGACGAAATGCCCAAAAGAAGTGCTAAAGAGACGAATGGTTTGAAGAAAAGGTTGAAAAACAATGTCGAAGAAGAGGATAATGGCGGCGAAAGTAAGTCAGAGACCGAAGCGGAAGAATGCAGTCGTTTATCTTCTTTGGGCTCCAAATTCAATGTGAAGATAATGTGTTGGAATGTCAGTGGCCTTCGAGCCCTTCTCAAGAAGGATGGCTTCAAGTCTCTGGAGAGAGAAGACGCGGATATTGTTTGTCTACAAGAAGTGAAATGTCAGAAGAAAGACATCCCCGAAGAGATCAATGTTTGGGCCAAATATCGGCACAAATATTACTGTTTGGGCGAAACGAAGGGCTATTCAGGCGTTTGTATCTTCAGTAAAGAGAAACCATTGGAAGTGAAGAATGGAATCGGTTTCAAAGAACACGACTCCGAGGGTCGGGTCATAACCGCAGAGTTCGAGGCCTTCTATTTAGTGGCCGCTTATGTGCCAAACTCTGGCAGAGGACTCGTCCGACTCGACTATCGCCAGAAGTGGAACACAGACTTCGAGGAATACCTGCACGGATTGGATCAGAAGAAACCAGTCATTCTTTGCGGTGATTTGAATGTCTCGCACAAAGAGATCGATTTAGAGAATCCAAAGACAAACACAAAGACCGCAGGATTTACTCCACAGGAGAGAGAAGACTTCACGAGATTGTTGTCCAAAGGGTTTGTCGACTCTTTCAGACACTTCTACCCCAACGACAAGAAGTGCTACACGTATTGGAGTTATATGAGGAACGCGAGGGACAAAGACATCGGTTGGCGACTCGGTATGGCTCATGGGATGGGATGGGATGTGTTCACTATATATACAGTATTGTCGTATAGTTTCATAAATTTGTATTTCTATCCAAAGACTACTTCGTGGTCTCCAACCAACTCATGGCCAACATCTGCGACAACCAAATCAGGAAACGAGTGCTCGGATCAGATCACTGCCCGATCGTCCTCTACCTCGCCGTCTAAAGCGTGACCATAGGATCTCTGCACTCATGATCTCATCCATTGATTGTATTTTATGAACCCTTTAACCAATAAATGATTTCATTGTATAATTCAATTCATTAGACATTTGTTTGCAAACTTTCATTCATTTCAATGCAATTGTTGTCGTAATTAATGTACGAATGAATCGATTGTTTTGTAACGAAATTTAAATGATTTTTCAAAATATACAGACAATTAGCGACCAAAACATAGTTTAGTGCAAAATATAAGCATTCAGTGAATTGAATGATAAAAATGCAATCAATTTGTCATCAAATGTAAGACAAGATTAGAGAAGAGATAGTGTTTTGATGTATGAATAGATGCCTCACATTGAGAGCCATTCACTGAACACAGAAACCAAAAGCAATGGAAAACATGATTAGAGCGACCATTCATTCATACATAACGTAAAGATTAGAGAAGAGATAGTGTTTTGATGTATGAATAGATGCCTCACATTGAGAGCCATTCACTGAACACAGAAACCAAAAGCAATGGAAAACATGATTAGAGCGACCATTCATTCATACATAACGTGATGGAAATGGAAAGGAATTCTTTAGTGTGTTGAGTGCGAGTGTGTTGGAGGGGGCGGTGGGGGAGGTGTCCCCGGAGGACGTAATGTGTGTGGTTTGTGGTGAATGTAGTTGTAGTGCAGTGTTAGCCCTATATGTGTGGCGGAAACAGCAGTAGAACTGCTGTGAGTGTGAGCTGTGGGCCAATGGGAGTGCTTCATGTGGTTGACGTCATGTCCTCCACCAGTGTTGGCGTCCATACGACTCAATGCAATGACTGTATGACTGTATGTATGACTGAGTGGTCTCTCTATCACTCAATAGTCTCAATACAAACACATAATAACATAATATTATGAATGCATTGATGTCTGTCTTAGCGCAGTGGCTAACCATTGAATTATAGGTCCAAATGAGTGACAATTAACTGATCCCGCACGCCACCATCATAACCACCAATGCTTGCAACTCATGAGTCAGTGTCTGATAAGATGATTGTGAAGAAGTGGTGAGAATGTGGCCATAAATGGTGTGACATTTGTATCCATTGAATGCACGCTAATATCAATCCAATTAACAATTCGTGAATCAATTGACGCGACGACTCACTCAACAGATCTGTGGTCTGAACAGGTATTGAGGCATTGATGAGATGCCAATCATATCATCGGTGACCTCTCCCTCCGGATCGACAGCAGTGCCCCAAAAGGCAGATCTGAAGCCAATTGGCATTTGTTTGTCAAGCAATTCCTCGGCAGAGATGTCTAATTCAGGCACAACTGTGGCCACCAATCGGGTGACCACCAGCTCCTCGACCAACAACTACTTCAACTCGACGTCAGCGCAGTCTTCGGCGCCGTCGACGACCATCCCGGTGGGCGCCCTCTCCGTAATGGTGGCCCGATTCTCGGGAGACAATAACTCGCGGCCGCAGACCGTTATACTGCATCCCCGGCCCATCACTTCCGGCAATAGGGCTGCCCTTCAAATGAGTGCTTCAATCCGCGGGTCAACCGTTATTTCGGGACAGACTATCAGTACGACGGGTTCGACGCCAGCCCTCACCTCAACGTCTCCATCGATATCCGTGCGGACGACACAACTCCTCGGCGGTGGTCAACAACACCATACCAACGCTCTGCCGGTTCTGAATCTCTCGACTGTAAGCAATGCCAACACATCCGGCGTGTCTTCGCACTCGTCCACTGCTATCAAACAACTCTGTGGTCAGAGCCGACCCTTTATCTCAACATCAGGTCCACTGCCCATCGAGTCAGTGAGTCTTGTGATGGCCAACCCTAACGACTCGAGTGTAGTGAACGCCCGTCCCATACGACTGCACCAGACGTCTAACGATTTGAAGCCAAACACCATTCATAACATCAACAAAATAAGTGGTCCGCGAACTGCTCTCATGACTGGATCTCCTCTGATGGCCACACAACCCACGAAAATGGCAATAAGTATCGGCGGAACGGGTCCTCAGACGACGACCACAGTGCCAGCACAACATGTGGCGCGAGTGGGCATTATTGGACAGTTGCCTATGGGGTCGGTGCCCACGACCACAGCCAACAAGTCTGGAATCATAAACTTACCAAAAGGTCACTTCATATTCAATTCGCCGACCGCTTCCAACACAACAACTCTTCATAATATGGTTAATGTTAGCCATTCTGTCGGCGGATCCGTCGCTTCGTTCACAACTCACACGACTGCGCACTCGTCGTCGCCACAGACGGCCGCCAAACTGGCCCTCAATTCAAGCCCTAACCACATGATCACCACAAGACATTCGGTCGTCTCGACCACCGCTCCATTCATTGCACACACTGTAAGTAATTCCTCGCAATCCTCGCAACACATCCATACCTCTCATCGACCACTCGGTGGCCATCAAAATGCAAACACAAACTCAATGCACACCTCATCGGCACCACCGCAACAGTTATTAGCGCCGACCACTACAGTGAGCGCTACATCACCGCTGAGACCAACCATTCTGTCATCGCCGGCCAGTTCGCCAGTAAAACAGTCGCAACTGCAGGCCTCGACCCCCAGCTCTCCCCGTCCCTCCATTTTGATCCGTAAGAGACCCAACGACTCGCAGACGGGTCTCACGCCTACCGCACTGTTCAAGACAACTGCACACAACTCGGCCATCACTGGATCCTCAATACCTCTAAGAGTCACTAACTATGGCCTCAAAGCAAACGACTCGTTGACTGTTGAGAACAGAGTGAATGATGTGATGGCCATCACTGACACAACATTAGCGCCCAATTGTACGACAGCTTTGCCAACGACTCCCAACTCAGACGGCAATCAAACGCCGCGAAAGAAGCCAAGGAAGCAGTTGTTAGAGCCGTCGAGTCTGAAGTCCTCGCAAAATATGCGTCTATTAAATAGCTCTTCAAATGATGCAAAACCAGACATTTGTAACGATAAGGAGAGTGTAGTTCATGTGAACCGTAAGCCCAGAGTGTCGTTGTTGTCATCGTATAACATGGGATGGAAGTCACTTCAGTACCACTTCTTGAAATACTCTGACGTGAGACCCAAACCAGAAAAGAAGTTCACTTTAAGTGAGTTAAGCAATGAAGGCCTTCAGCGCAAGAATGGCTGGAAGATCCACCACTTGGCCGCTCAGATGGAAGTGATGACTGACAACGAGCACAACGTTTACCAAAGACTCAACCAGTTCTTAGACACCTTCGAGAGGGACGTCTGTCTCACCAATAATAACAATAACAACAACCAGTGCTCTAACACTAAACCCATGATCACATCTAATAGTGTTTGTGACAGTTCTAACAGTTCCCGGACTACAGGTGCCAACGATTGCTCCTCATTGGACACCATATCAGTGAAACTCAATGATTTGATTAGAGGTAACCTTCAAAGAAGTCACTTATTCTCGGATCAGATCACAGAAGCTCGACATCTGATCGTGAAGCTGACCACTGATCACAAGGAAAGAGTGGCCAAAATCACTAAGAAGTGCGCCAACAAAAGGACTTATATTACCAAATGATCCATACATTGATCACACACTTCAACACACCCTCCCCTCCCTATCGATTCATCAAATGAGTATATATTTTGCGCAAAACTAATCGACTCTTATTTTTCATGAAAATTCTCTGTCTTTTCAATACATTACATATTATTATAATTTATAATACATTTCAAGTGAAACTAATGTTTAGACAGTTTATCGAGAATAATTTAATTGTTTATAAATTAATATAACGAAATGAGTCCTATTTTTTAATCTAAACTAATGTCACAAATAATGGCATACAAAGCAAATTGTTTTCAAATTGAAACTAATTAATGGTATTTATATTAAAAGCCAACAAATAATGTATAAATAAATCGATTATTCTTTTGGTCCGAAAGCCTATCACCTGTATATTGATTTGCAAATTGCCATACCTTTCAGTACCTGTCAATCACCACATGATTGTCTCAATTATTGTTTCAATTAGTCAACAGTGGCTTAACTGTTCATATGATGGCAGTGTTGGTGGCAATGGAGTAGAGCTACACCACAACCATCACAACAACCATAATATGGAAAATGGACTCAATTTTCAAATCAGTGGAAGTGATGGCAGAAGCGATGCAATCATATGATAGGTTGTGGTGAGCAGTGATGTGCGAGTGTTGGCCACCACTCCTCGCACTCTCCACTCATTCAATGCATTGTAATCTCACCTCAAGGTCTTCACAAACACAACATCGCATCCAATCAGAGGTAAGCGTCGAGCGCTTCGCTGTTGAGACAAGCGTTCAGCCAATCATTGCGAGCATCGCTGAGACAACACTTGTGGCATCACGTGCTCTCTGTGTCAGCCAATAGCGTGACGACAAACATTGCATTTGAAATTAAAATACATTTTGAAAAGACGTTAAAAGTTTGAAAGGCATTCAATGCAGTGAACAGTGGTTTGGGTAACGATTTAGTGAACGCTATCTCACGTCTAATCAAACCATTTATAGTCCAGTGAATAGAGTTGCAGTCAATTGACGCCATTTGTGTTGATTTGGTTGTGTTATCGAGAATGTGATCCAATTGTTGGCACAAACTGTAAGTCAATTACACTCACAATCACTAATGCATTCATACATGCATTCAAACGGTTGCCTAAATAGCGCTCATTTCTGATAGCGATTAGCATTGCATTGATAACTGTGTCTCAAATGTGATCCCATTTTGATTGTTAGCACAAAATGTCGAAAAGTCTGAAGCGATTGTCGTTTGAGAAGTTGGAAGAAGAGGTAAGTCCGGCGAAACGGAGCGCCAAATGGGAGGACAGGGCGGTGGAGAGCGGGTCCGTCGAGACGTCCAATCGGATGAGAGTGTATGTGAGGGTCAGACCGTTGAGTGACACCGAAGAGAGCGGTGGCGCCAAGAAGTCGATTGATGTGATCGACAGCCAACTGCTGGTCTTCGACCCGATCGAGTTGGACGACAACCAGACCACAGATGATCAGTACGTATACCACGGCAAGCGGTACCGCGAGATCGGTCGCAGACCTAATAAGAACCTGCAGTTCGTGTTCGACCGGGTCTTCGGCGACTCCTTCGAGAACATCCAGATCTACGAGCAGTCGACCAAAAAGTTTGTCCAATCGTTGCTCAACGGCTACAACTGCGCGGTCTTCGCATACGGCGCCACCGGTTCCGGAAAGACGCACACAATGCTGGGCTCACAGGACGACCCCGGAGTCATATTCTTCACGACTATGGATCTGTTCCGTCAGATCGAGGATAAGTGCGAAGACGAGAAGCTGGAGCTCAGTATCTCCTACTTCGAGATCTACAATGAAGTGGTGTTTGATTTACTCGACCCCACGTCCGGCAAAGCGCTGGCCGTTCGTGAGGACAGTCGACGCGGAGTTGTGGTGAACAACCTGTCTGTCCATCAGCCCAAAGACGCCAACCATTTGCTAGAAATGTTGGAATACGGGAATCGCAACCGAACTCAACATCCGACTGACGCTAACGCCGAGTCTTCGCGATCTCACGCAGTGTTTCAGATATCGCTTAAAAAACAGGACTATTCCTCCACTCAAGAGATGTCGATTCAGATCTCGAAGATGTCTTTAATCGATTTGGCGGGCAGTGAACGCGCGTCCACTGCTTATAAGAGCATCAGAAGTAAAGGCCTCCAGAGAGAGGGCGGCAATATCAACAAATCACTGCTCGCTTTAGGCAATTGTATCACTGCTTTGGCCTCATCTGATCCCAAGAAGAAGTGTTCTTACATTCCATACCGCACATCAGAAGCAAAGGCCTCCAGAGAGAGGGCGGCAATATCAACAAATCACTGCTCGCTTTAGGCAATTGTATCACTGCTTTGGCCTCATCTGATCCCAAGAAGAAGTGCTCTTACATTCCATACCGCGGCTCAAAACTAACGCTTCTCTTGAGGGACTCATTGGGAGGCAATTGTCAGACAGCGATGATCGCAACGGTCAGCCCATCGGGTCTGCACTACGAAGAGACGCACAACACTCTGGTCTACGCCGACAGAGCGAAAGGAATCCAACTGAACCTCAAGAAGAACCAGATTTCTGTTGGTCTTCAGCCCCGGAATTATAACAGTTTAATGGAATCACAGAATCGCAAGATTTCTGATCTCAGCGAACAGTTGGCACAACTCAGACACGAGAACGAGATGTTGAGGTCTAAAATAGATACCGTTCCCAAGAATGCTATCGTTGCCAGCAATGACTCGATTTCGTTGTTAAATGTCGTTAAGAATTCTTTGGATCTCCTCTTTGAAGAGAGACTCGGTTTGAGGGAAAAGCTAATGGAATGCGAATCGAATCTCAAGAAAATCGATGTAAGGATTGAAACAATGATTTCATTGAACTCTTTATCTCATAAATAACTTTTGCTTTCAGTTGAGACTTCTATTCCGAAAGTATGACATCGAAAGACACAGATTGATGGCATCCGAAGAGTACGACATGAGTTCGATCACTAAATCAGATCCATTGCAGTCACTCTATAACCAAAAACTCCATTTTTCGGACCAAAAGAGTTCTCTTGATTTGAAAGTCGAAGAAAATGAGAGTAAAATCAAACGAATCGAAACTGATTTGAAAGAACGGACCGGAGATGACGATTGGCTGATCAACAGATACTTCATCGACGAGAACATGAAAACCGAATTTAAGGACAAATCGTTCGCCGAAAAGCATTCCATAGAAATCGCGAAAGAAATTCTCAGTCGTTTGGACGCCAATGAAGAGCTGATGACGGAATCAGTGAAACTGAACCGACATTCGTATCACTGCCTCAACGGTATGGGAAGACTGAGCGAAGAGTTGGGAAATGCTTTCACATCACTTCTACGCAAAGTTGAGGGCAAGAAGAGTGTCATCTGGAAGGACGACATCTCTTCGCCCGTCATATCGAAGCGCAGAGAAGTTGAGAGTTTGTTCGCATTGCCCACCTATACAGCGCTTCCTAAGACACCGCAGGCCAACACTTCCAGAGCTTTGGTGTCCGTTCACGACATCACTCCGTATTATCACAACAATATTACGCCCGAAAAGAGCACTCCATTGATGACGAAGAATATGAATTCAATGAGACTGTCGTTGAATTCAAGTGTAAATAAGTCGAACACCAAAGTGGCGGTTGTGTCGGCCAACAAACGCACGGACAGTGACCACGACTGCGAGAACAACCCCTTAAACGACACGTTCACTATTGGCGACAAACGCAACAATGCAATGACTCCTTCGCCAAAATCAAAACCTTCGACGAGTAGTAACCGTACGTTCAGTGACCCCAGGAATAGGAAGAGTCCCAACAATAACTACCGAAATAGTGGTCAAAAGGGTTACAACAATCAGTACAGAGAAGGCAATGGCGGCCGATCACCGGCGACTTATAAGAGTCGATCGCCCTATCAGTACACCAATAATCGGTATAACAACCAATGGAATCGTGACTCCAGTTATAATTCCTATCAAAATAACGGATACAATAGTCAGTCGTCGGGTCGACAATACGGGCGCTCCAATCGGTCGGACAAACCTTATTACCCGCGCTTTAGATTTTAATTAGTTATGGTTCAGGAATTGCTTTTCAATTAATGCTTCTCTCATTTTTTGAATTATTTTTACCAAATATTTTATTCTTATATAATTATTTTCAATTTTTACTCTAATTTTTAATAAAGTATTCATTAGAATCGCAGCTTTCGAGAAGATCTCACATGTAATTATAGTTAATGTAAATATGTGTCCAAATACTGTATTAATCAATTGTATTGAATTTTTTTAAACCGCACTCAATACCAAATTACTGTAACTTTTTAATGCCAACTTTGCTATTTCCCAACTACTGTACCCTAAATTGTATTGTATTAGTGCCTTATAAATAACACATATTTATTACCGTATATTCAATTTTATTCACTCAATAAATATTTTAAAACATCATTTTATTGATTAACAATTTATGACAAAGTCCTTATATTAATCAAAATGTAATACAAATCGCTATTGCGATCGATAGCAACCGAATACCAAAATAATTACAAAATTAAGTAATCGATGTTTTGGACGGAATTGAATCGATTAAGTAATGAATTAGAATAGAGTTACGAAAATAAATTAGATTTTCATATAATATACAAAACCTATAAAGGATTTGAATGAAGAAATTGCAAACTTTATCATCAATTCATTGCCACTTGGTATCAAAAACTAAGAGATTCTTTCAAAATAATCATTTCATATAAAATTTTTAGTCTTATAAAACTGTAGTTTCAGTCAAAACGACTCGTATTTCGTTTACAAATAAATAAAATTCAAATAATCCATAAAATGATTGAATAAATGAGTTACAAATGCAAACTAAAGGAGTGATCAACAGATGCTCAACAGGGGCTGTGACGGAACGACCGCATCAATGGGACCAATAGACTGGGCGGTCCCGCCTGTCAATAGTTAATACAATATTCAGCAAATAATTCACAATATAGTGTACTGTTATAAGACATACCTGACGGAGGAATGGGTGCTGAAGCAGTTCCAAAGCAGTGGACCGTTGTGTGGGATCGCGGACTAACATCTTCTCGAGGAATGCCTGCAAACGCGGTGACACTTTATGGACATTCTTGAGTTTGGGTGGAGGCATATCTCGGATGCGACGCATGGCCTGTAGGGGCGGTTCGTTGAAGAAGGGCGGCTCCCCGTCACACATCTCTATAACCATTATACCCAACGACCAAATGTCCACTTCTGGCCCATACGGCAGACGTGATATCACTACTCATTCAAATACATGGCATTAAAACACATGTGAAATAACCACTGCAATAACTAGACATACCTTCGGGTGCCATCCAATAAGGCGTTCCAACCAATGATTTACGTTTGGGTAATTCAGTGGACACTTGAGCACAGAATCCAAAATCAGATAACTTTACCTATAATTGCAATCAAATAATTGTCAGAAATTATATCCAAAGCTTGAAAACAATTCAATGACTAACTCTTCCGTCACTCGCGAGTAAAATGGAATCACTTTTGATGTCGCGATGAATGACTCCCTGGGAGTGAAGGAATGACAGTGCTTTGAGACACTGTTTGCAAACTGTGGCGATCTGTTCCTCATCCATACGCGAATGTGTGACTATATCCGTGAGAGCGCCTCCTTCTAAGAACTCCATCACAACCCAGAGCTCGTCGTCCACCAGAAACGAGTCGTACATCTCGACGATATTCGGGTGATGATAGTCACGCATAATGACCACTTCGTTAAAGAGGAGTTCCCGTCGCTGTTGTTTCCGTAAATCCATTTTCTTGACGGCCACCTGTCGTGAGGAGCTCTTCTCGAGAGCGATGCATACGATGCCTGTGGAGCCCTCACCTATTTTCACAAAGTTCTCCAAATTCTCCCTACAGTTCAATCAAATCATATTAAATACCGTTCACTAGATTACTGTATTAGACAACGAGGCAAACCTGGGATCTCCGGGACTGACAACCAATTGAAGGGCTGCTCTGAACTGCTCGTGCGATAAGCGTTGTTGCGATTGTTGTTGCATTGGTTGCGAAGGTTGGGGGCCTTGAGTTGGTTGCATCATATGTGGAGAGGGCTGTTGTGGAGATTGTCCTCGAGTTGGACCCATTGAGGGCACGACACTCATTGGAATGGTTTGTTGCGAGTGAAGTGCATTTGCATTGGAGTTTGGATGTGGAAATGGATATGCATTCTGACTATTGACGGGTTGGGCCGGCATTTGTGCGCCCATTAGATGCATCTGAGGATGGGATGGCATTTGCATGGAAGAGGTCTGATATGGCATTTGTGGTCCATTAGCGACCGTTTGTTCATTGATTTGGTTGTTCTGGTGTTGAATGAGTTGTGGCACAGAATGTGTAGAAACCGGAGATTTAGCTCTTTGTTGACTCGATTGATGGGGAGATAACTGTGGCTTCATTTGCGGCTGAGATTGAGTTTGGGGTACGGGTTGTGAGGGGTAATGGAGTGATTGGTTGTGAGGGAAGGGCTGATGAGGTATAATGGGTTGTTGTGGTTGCGGTAAGATTGAGAACTTTGCTCTACTATTGGTCCAAATGTTGTTATTGTTGTTATTATTGGGAGAGTTATTGTTAACCGAATTAGTGTTAGAATTGTAACCATTCTTGAAGTTTTGGTTTGAATTTTGATTTATATTTAGATTTAGCTGTTGTTTAAGCGATGATTGCATTGAGTTGTGGCCCGACATGAGAGTCGGCATTGAAGGCACTGATGGTTGAGACGAATTGCGGAATTGATTCATGTTTTGGTGATTCATGTGATGATGAGAGTGATTGTGGTTATGATGCGAGTGTTGGTTCAGCGTTGGCGGCACAGGAAAGGCCATCATTTGTTGCGATTGCTGGGCAGACATGGCTGACATGCCCTGACTGTCGACCACGTCGTGCTCTGGCAGAGGCGGTGGCACGCGATTGGGTCGCAGAGCTGGCGGTGAATCCGCTTTTCGCAGAGAATTAGATCGCGTGACCAGAGCTCGACTCATGGGCTGACTGGTGGTCACCACAGAGTTTCCCCTCACGATTGTGTGGCTCTTGATGTCCATAATCTCTGTGTGAGTGATGTTTGAGGGGTCGACGATAGGTCGCGGGCGCAGGGAATTGGTGTTCCCCTGAAT